ATGGCATTTTCTATAAATTTATAAAATTATCCTGAGCTGAGCCAGCTGATGCCCATATCTGTGCTGGAACCTGGGCCTGTGTAGATGCACATGTTGAAGTCAAAGAACAACCTCAATTGTCAGTCCTCATCTTCCACCTTGGTTTTTTTTTTTTTTTTTTTTTTTTTTGGTGGGGGAGGGACAGGGTCTCTTTTTTTGTTTTGACAAGGTTCTGGGTTCTAGGTATTCTCCTGTGCCTATCTCCCATAGGAGCATCAGAATTATAGACACACACTACCAAACCCAGTTTAATGTGGGCTCTGGGAATTTGAGCTCAAACCCTCATTTCCACAGCAAGCACTTTACCCACGGAGCCACCTCCCACACACGTTTTACTTGTTGCTATTGCACCTATGTTTGTCCTGAGTGGAATTTTTCATGGTGTAAATTCACCGCAGTTTGTTCATCTGGGCCTCCCCTCCCCCCCCCCGCCCCCACTAATGGGCAGCTGGGCTGCTTCCAAGCTTATGGTGATAACAGCACCATGGCACCCAGCTGCAGCCTGCTCAGCTGAGTTTCTCTAAGGCAGGCATGCCTAGGAGTAGAACTGCTAGCCCACACCAAATGGGACTCCTCAGCCTCAGGAGGGCAGATGACAGCAAACTGGCTACAGTGTCTAGCACTTGTTGGATGCACGCTTTCTCCGCCTAACCCCTTCAGTTTAGTTTCTTTGGGCTTCAAATATCAGCTCCACCAAAATGTTTAAATCAAGTTCTGACTTTTAATCCCTGTGCAGCACCTCGGGTGAATTCTCCTGCCTGGAAAAGAGGCCTGGACAAGAGGAAGAAAATCTAAGTGGAGCAAAGACCCTGGTCTAGACACCAAGGTAGGATAGTCCAATGGGAAGAGACAGCCCAGAAGCTGTTTCACTTTTGACAAGCGGGAGACAGAAATGGAGGTTCGGGGTAGGGCTAAAGCCCATTTCCCATCCAAGATGCTCACTCAGCCTCCTCTGCGTCATTCTTCTCATAATCACTGCAGGTGCCGAGAACAAAAACCTGGAAACGGAAAGCCCAGTTTGTAGGTTGCCAATTTGAAATGACCGTGGGACCTCACCACACAGCCTAACCAGGTTCTATACCCACGAGCTGAGTGTTTGCCAGTCTGACCAGCTCACAGATGAGTCGGATCCCTGTTCTGCCTTTAGGAGCTTGCAAGTTTCCTCATTTCTAAGACAGGATCAGGCATGAAGTGCCCAAGGGATAACAGTGCCAGGAAAGAGATATGCAGTGTAGAAGGACTCAAACAGTAAGAACAGCAGAAGCCTTCTTGGAAACCCTGACAGGGGGTGGGGGGAGGAAGCAAGGCAGGGAGCAAAGAATATACTTAAAATAATTATGAACTCAGTTTCTGACTTGCACCCTTGACTTTCCCATAGTCTCCTATTTCTCACTTTAGGGGTAGGTTGGTTTTCTGGGATAGGGTTCCTCTGTGTAGCTGGTGTGTTGGGGTTTAGAATTTTCTCATGGGGTCATCCTTCCCTTTAACTGGGAACACACACTAATCCATGCAAAACCCCCCCCAGAGCCATACATACACTATGTGGAATTCAAACAAGCCTGGAATTCACTCTGTAGACCACAGAGATCCACCTGCCTCTGCCTCTCGAGTGCTGGGATTAAAAGCGCGTGCCACCACCACCTGCCTTTCTCACATTTTTTAAATGTCTCTAGCCTCTAGTCATAGTCAAACACAGAGGAGCTCAGGATCATCATTGAATATTCTTTATCTGCACTTCCACATACACTCACAGAGTGAACTCTACCAGGTACCTGGACCTGTCCTGAGCTCTGCATACATGGATGGACAAGATAGCCTCAACCTCAGCCCCCATCCCACTCCATCTTCAAGGGTGGACAGAAGATTTAAAAAGACTATTCGCTTGACCTGCCCATCATCACTCAGACCTCATCAGCCAGAGACAGCCTCTCCCTTTCCCCCTTTCTCTCCTAAAACATTTTCAGGAAATTCTGCAAGATGAAAGAAATGACTGCCTGCTCCATAATTGAAAGAACCCGGACCAGCTTCCCAGGTAGCCAAGTGGCTCTCAAACCTCAGAGACCCAAGCCTCAGGTGCTTCCCACAGGGCAGCCTCCAATCTGATACTTGATAGCTGGTGGTTTCCAGAGTCAAACAAATGTCAGGAATTTTATGAAGGAAGGCAGGAAGCAGAAAGGGGGGCAAGGACGGGGGTCTAGGCCTCAAGGGAGCTCAATTAGTGAGTCAGATAGTTAAAGCAAAAGGGCATGTTCTCAGTTTCCTCTCAGTTTCCTAGAAAGCCAGCTGGAAAAGATGGCAGTCCTTAGGCCTCTGTCACTCAAAAGATTAGGAGAGGAGACCTCAGGGTTGCCCAAAGGGAATTCTGCAGCAAACCAGATGTTTCTATTCTTCCTATGATTCCAGAGCTCTCAACTAGAGCCACACTTCTGGGGCCACCAAGAAGCCACAGAAGAGAGCTGGTATCTTCTGAGACAGGGCTGAAATCCAAACATGACCCTTTATCAATACAGATAGAAAAGATTCCTCCACAACATCTCTCCCCCCCCCCCGCCCCGCCCCCGGTGTGTTGGGGTTTAGAATTTTCTCAGGGAGTCATCCTTCCCTTTAACTGGGAGCACACACTAATCCATGCAAACCTCCCCCCAGAGCCATACATACACCATGTGGAATTCAAACAAGGCAGCAAGCCCCATGTTTCACTTCCCTCCCTCCAAAATGGGTCTAAAAAGACTGCCTCTCTTGTTCTTAAGAGATTGTATAAAGCGCCAAGCCCAAATGTTCATAACTGGTGGTTGTCACTGCTGCTCATAATAACTGTTGCACACACAACACATGCTTAAAGAGCATTGCTTCCAGTCTAAGATGACTCAGTAGTTACAAGCACTGGCTGCTCTTTCAGAGAACCCAAATTCAGTGAGTAGGGCATCTCACAACTCCAGTTCCAGGGGGACATCAGAGCACCTACACACACATGCCCATATTCATCTACAGTTATACACATACACATGTAACTAAAAATAACAAAAAATCTTTTTAAAAAGAGCTGTGTCTCCTTAGGACATTCTAAATGTGTGTGAGAGAGGGAGAGACAGAGACAAAGGGAGAGACAGAGACAGAGGGTGAGCTGGGATATCAGCGTACCTAGTTACGGTTCCTGATTATGTTCCATCAATTTTGTCAAATAACAAACTAAAAGAAGCTGTCAGAAACTTAGCATCTGTTTGCCCTAAAATCCTAACTTTCTCCTAAAAGGTGCTTTCTCCAGTTCCAGGAAAGAAAGCCATATGGCTTGAGACATTAGACATGCCCAGCAGCAAGCAAAGCCCACCACCATTTGTCGGAGGGCCTCTCTCCTTTCGACCCTCGTGTGGGCGGGCATCCAGATTGCAGTCGGGGTGCTCTGGTCTGCATCTCTGTCTTGACTGTTCCTAATTATTGGAGGGAACGCCGTGGCTCTCTCTTGCCTGACCTTAGAATTTAAGAGCTTCGAGTCCTCATATCAAACCATCAGCTTCATTGAAAAGGCATGCTCATCTGCATCCATAAAAGTCGCTCCTGGAGCCCTGACTTGCCCCAGCTTTGGGAGTGCTGTCGAGGATTTACGACACACCCTGGGTCTAATCTGCTGCACTTTAACTGCTGCTGTTGCACATCTGGCCATAAAAGCAAGGGCCGGCCCAACATGAGGACAAACACTTTTCTTTCCTAAGTGGCTGCAAATCTGATCTCCCAGTGATAGGTGGGCTCAGATGTAATCAGCCCAGCATCTGGGCAGTCATTAAGTTAGTCAGGTTTTGTAAAGCTTTTCTTCCATGCAGAAAAGCTATAAAGATGATTCCCTCGTAGCAAAAACCAGGAATGAAGAAGCAGCTATGTGAACAGGTGGTAATGGGACTAGGCATCCAGGAAATAGGGCCAGAGGATATCCAGAAAAGAAAGCACAATTTGGTTGGGAAGCCAACCTTGTTTGCTCAGAGGTCCTAGCTACTTTCCCAGGGAGGTTCGGGCAGGGTACAGGCAAACTGCTACCCGGAGGTCCAGGCTCTGATCTGACTTACTCTGATGCCTGCCCAGAGATTGCCTCCATTATATTTTGCCAAAGGAACCACTCGGTGCTTTAACAAATACATTTTTTAGGCAGTGAAATTTTTTATTAGACCAATAGGAGGGGCAGGGAGAGCAATAATCTAGACCAGAAATGAACACAATGCTGCCGGTTCCCGTTTTACAGTGCCCTGGACAATCCGTCCTGTGCACAGAATTGGCACATTTCGTGTGGTTCAGAAACTCCAATCAGACCAAGGTTCAACCGATCCAACCCAGGGGAGGAGATTCTGGAATACTGTGCAGCTCTCCCTCCCGAACTTCTCCACAGCTCCCCACCCAGCCCTGCCACTCCTCCCGGGCCAGGCCGTCAGGAGGGGGCATTAAAATTATCTGCTGTGGGTTTTACGAGCGACGATTGCTTTTTAAAACAACAACAACACAAGGTCCCTGTGTGGCTCGCGGGTAACCTAAAACTCTCTAGGCAGAGTACCCTCCCGCCCCCTCTCCACACACAGACACACACACCCTCCGCCTGCCAAGAAGGCCAGCGCAGGGACCGGTGCAGCGACACCATGGGGAAGCTCTGCTCTAGCCAAGGCCGAGCTCCCATCGACCTAGGAGGCGCCTCTAGGGGCTGGGGAGGGGGTCTTGAAGGAAAAGACTCGGGAGAAGTTCCGGGAAGAAAACCCACCGGTGACAGGTCCTGGGAGTCGGTGCTGGGGGGGGGGGGGAAAGGCGGGGGTGGAGAGGCAGTGAAATTCTATTTCAGCAACTTCTCCAAGAGGCCCGCAAGGGACTAGACAGTAGAATCGGGGACCAGGTCTGTCACCCACCCCCTTCCCCTTCCTGCAGATGAACGGCCCAAAGAGCCCTCTCTCCGCGCAGGTGGGCGCGCGGCCGGGAGACGCACTTACCCTGGGGCCGGTGGTGCGGTGGCCCCCGGCCGGGGACAGCTGCACCAACATGAGCAGCAAGTGGGGCATGAGCAGGCAGACGCGCGCGGGCAGCATGGTGCCAGCCGAGCCAGGCAGCCGCTAGCGGGCAGCTGGCAGCGGGCAAGGGGCACCGGCTGGCTTCAAAGCGCTTGGGGCGGGGGCGACCCTGGTGGCGGCGGGGTGCAGCCAGAGAGCCTGCAGCAGGGGCTGGCGGAGCCTGCGGCCGGGGGTCACGGTCATGAACCGCGGAGTCCGAGAGCTGGAGCGCGAGCGTGTGCTCTGCGCGTGGCGCCTGCTGCGCTCGGCCTGGCCGCGGCCACAGCAGGTTGGATGCCGGAGCCCGGGCCATGGGAATTCCCGTTATAAACCCCGGGAGGGAGGGGCGGGGCCCGGCGGGGCTGACTGACGGGTCGGGAGGCCTGTAGCAGCCGACCCTCCGGCAGGTGGAAGCCAATGGGAGAGAGACGAGAGGGGCGGTTCGTGGTCAGCCTCCCCCACCCTCCTCCCACCTTGGAGCTACACTGGTTTCCCCGCCCGAATGGACTCTAGCACAGGCTGGGATACCGAGTAACTTTCTCTTGGCAAGTCCTCACTGGGAACCTCCGAGCGCTCCAGCAGCCTCGGCCCCTCCAGAATGGTCACCTGGCTAGTAAGGAAGCCTTGAGCACCTACCGATTTTTAGCTCGTAGGCTTGAGTTGTCGCAACAGCTCCGTGAAGAAGGCAGGGAAAAATAGCTCCGTTATCCAAATGACACAAAGACTTTGGGAAATGCTCCCCGGAGGCCCCAACACCGGGAGACAACTTGGGAAGCCACCAGGTGCCGCCCACAGGGTGGGCTGTGACCATCGTTGGAAAGGGGAGTGGGGGTGTTCACTTCTTTCAAAAAAAAAAAAAACTCCTTACGTGTGGCATCCAAGTTTCACAGCGGCTGCCTGAGGGAAGTCTCACAGAGGCAAAATGAAGCACCCTGGTAATACGCCCTGTGGTCCACATGACCTGGGATTAAAACTCGGGCACCCCGTTTTACCAATCTTGAACTGGGGGGGGGGGTCCACAGAAGCAGCCTAGCCTCTCTGTGGCCTGGCAACGCTGGGGGAAAAAAAAAAAGATCAGAAGAGCCCTGATCTCATATGCGGAGGAGAGCAAGGCATAAACGGAGGAGTGGTCTATAACAACAGAAATCCTAGACACTCCAAGGAAGGAGCCATCTTTCCTAGGAGACCAACCTTGGAGAGGATTGCTTGGCCCTAAGCAGACCTGTCAGGTACTGGAGGTCTGTCCACAGTGGTCCCGGGGGCCAGCCTGGACATGGTCACAGCTACATCACATGGCTCCTCCACCCAACAAGGTGTCTTCCCCACAAGGGACCCATGATTATCTCCAAATGTGGAACACGGTTCTTGGTGATTGGTTTCCACCGGTCTGGGCCCGTCCCTTGCTAGGGAGAGATCTATTTCTCCAACCAAAGTGCCGTAAAACACAGGCTTCAAAGCTCCCTGACTGCCCTGAGAGGTCCTGACAAAGACTAGCTCTGCTCCCTTCCAGCCAGGTTCTCTTCTCCTTATATGAGCAGGCTTCCCAAGGGGCACACACACACCATCTGGCTGCACACACCAGCCAGTCTTTCTGAACAACAAACCAGAATGCACCACTCTGCTCAAAGGGTTTTGCACCTCCCCCATCGGCCTCAGACAGAAATGTCCAGGCAAGAATAAAAGGTACTCCAAACAAAATAAAGAACATCCCTAAAAAGAAGTGCCAATTTTCAGGCCTGAAGCCTGCCTTGATCAGACTCTAGAACAAGATCCCACCAACACAGAGGTGAGATCTCAGGTCTGCCATCTAGTGGTAAAACCTTGAACAGGACTCATCTGAGATATATTTCCCCCTCTGCAAAATGGGAGTGTTTAAATAGCATCCAGACCATGCAAGTTACTGGGAAGACTAAAAGAGATGGGGTGAGCAAAGCCCTTATAATGACATATGAAGAAAACAACCTAATACTTCACGGCTTCTTTGTGCTCAGGATGATTTTACACATTACAAGCCGGTCAGCAGGAGATTGACTTGTCTGGTGGCCTCATCTGGTTAGTAGATGACAGAGCCAATTTTCTAGGTTAGGCTTTAAGAGTCTTATCCTGCCTCTGTCGCATGGAGTCTCCTGCCACTGTGTCACTGGGAGTTTCTATGGAGACTCTGCTTCGCCAAACACCAGGGGGAAAGGCATAGACAGCAAAGGTCGGGCCTTCCTGGAACAGCCCTCGTGATACAGAATACTGGGGATAAAACCAGCTGGACTTGGGACACTTGTCCAGCCCTGAGTGTGCATGCATTACTTAGGCCATTTCCATGCACCCTCTGTGTTTCCCCACAGGGGGAGCAGCAGGCTGTAGGCTTCTCCGGACTGCCACCTGGCCACATGCAGCCATGGAGCTGATCCACGGCCTTCTGGTGTTGGAATTATTGAGAAAGCTGTTGGAGTCAGCAAGCATGCTCAGATGGCCCCTGGTATCTGGCAGCATGAAGCCCCCAGGGGGAGCATTGTGGTAGTGCTTTCCATCCCCAACCCCACATGCTACTTTCCAGCCAGAAAACTCATTTCCAAATAGTCACTGGTCCAAAAGTTGACATCGGGCTGGCCTTCAACCATGTAGTTTAATTTAAAATACAAGCAACTGCTTTCCAGTTGCTTTGCTCAGTATTTTTTTCCTGCTGGTCAGCATGAAGGACCTGTCATGACTCTGGTTGCCATTCTTGTGACACGTTTTCTTTTCCCAACTCCTCCAAAGCCCAGAGAGACTCAGAAATCCCAAAGAACCCCTAGTCCTAAACAGCATCTCTCAGCCAATCAGGCTCAATCTTGTGATCCAAGCAAAAAAGTAAAATTGACAAGTTGTCTTGCCCTGGAGGCCAGGTTTATGAGCCCAGAACAAATCTAGCTGGCCTGACAGCTGATCTGTCCAATTTTAGTCACACTTTCTGCCCTTTGTGGCTTCTCTTTTCAAGAGGATATTTTAATGGAAGAAAAATAATTCTTTATCTTATAGCTCAGGTCTTTGGGGGGGTGGCAGTTTGAAATGTCTTGCCCTTTTGTCCTATTCAGAATAACAACATGCCGTCCATTCTAGCAAGTGCAATGTTCATTGTTAAAGGGGATCTTTGAACACACACATAGTCCTGAAGTTTAACTAAGAGAGGGAACAGATAGGTACCTGGAGACCATATCTATGAGTAAAGCTTGCATTGTATGGGAACTCAGAAAGCAAGGTGCTGTATATCTATCAGGCAGGAAGGACCCCTGAAAGCAGTAAGTCCTGAGGGTCTGGAGCAAAGTGCTTCTATGTTGTCAATGATGTCAAATTTGTGTTTGCTTTGCTGTTGTAGCCACAATCGAGCTAAGGTGTCCAAGGTGAGAACTCCTGTCAAAATCACTTTTGAACTCAGTCGGGAATTTGGAATACTGAGACTAAACTTACAATTTGGTTAAGATAAGCTATTTACTAGTCTTACTTTGCAAATGAGGCTTAACCACAGAACTTTACCTTACCAACGTTCTTGCTTGAATAGAACAACAAGTAATATAGAAACGTATCTGCTTCTGATCTAGATTCTTATTGATGTTCTGTCATAATAAACAGCTTTTACCTAGTGGTCCAAGAAGGCTGTTCAAGTCCTAGCCATCATATCTGCTTTCCAGTGAACAAGAAAGGAAAAGGGGAAAGAAGAATGTGTACTTGCCAGAAGTTACACTGTATTTTATTTCCTTGACTACATACAACTCTATAGGTATCCAGGTAACATAAAGGGTTACTAAGTAAGGAGACACAGTTGGCAGTAGAACTTATCAACATTGTGATACTCAGAGGCCACCTGTAAGGTCTTCAGCTCCCTCATATTAAACATATATAAATAGGTGCTAAACATTAAATTGTGCCCCTCCCACAAAATTTATCTCTTAGGACCCTATCCCCTTCATGTATTAAAAAAGGACCTTCAAGGAGTCATTGGGACTAAATGAGGTCATAGAAATGGAGCCCACAGGAATGAGATCAGTGCCTTCAAACAAGTCATAGGAGAGTTCGCATCTCAAGACTGTCTGATCTCCACCATGCAAGACTTTGAACAGAAGTTGGCACTCTGGCTTCAACAAAGCCCAACACGCTGGAACCTTGATCTTGAATTCCTAGCCTGCAGAATTTTGAGAAATTCCTATCTATTATTTAGAAGTACCTAGTCCATGGCACAGCAAAATTCATACAGGAGTGGAAGCAGCTCGGGGAAAGAATTGTGTTACAACCAACAGAGCTGAAAGGAATGGGAGAGCCAAAGATCCATGGGAGCCCTGAGACATCCGGCTGTGGAGTTTTCCCTATTGGCTTTCAGTCTTGTTTCGGCCCATTTTCTCCTCAATGCACCCCTATCCCTCCTTTTGGAATGCTGATGCATATTCTGTGCCATTGTATGTTAGAAGTTGTAAGGAATACAGTTTTTCCCCCCGCTGCCTCTGGTCTTGTCCCGACGCCGCACCAGCCCCAATTAACACACAGAGACTCTGTATTTGATATAATCCTGTTGGCCTGTTACTAGTTTCTTATCGGCTAGCTCTGTCTTAATTATTAACCCATTTCTATGTATTTCCACGTGGTCTTACCGAGAACGGAGGAATGGTGGTTCTGTTCTCTCCAGGCTCTCCATCTTGGCTCCTCCTTACTCCTCCCTCTTTCCTTCTTGTCTCCTAGTCCCGCCTCTCTTGCTTTCCTATTGGCCAACAGTGCTTTATTCATTAACCAGTATAAGAAACATATACAGAATGACATCTCCCATCAAGAAGTAACTAATTTTCTTTTTGATTTTGATTTTACAGGGGGTTATAGTTTGTCTGGAAAAGAGACTTTTGATTTTGGGCTTTTAGATTGTGTTGAGACTGTGAAAGACTATGGGGACTTTTGAAGTTGAACTGAATACGTTTTACATTATGATATGGCTATAAGCCTTTGAGAGGCAGAGAATGAAATTTGGTGGTTTACATAAGAACATCTAGCCAGGTGGCGATGGCATATGCCCTTAATCCCAGCACTCAGGAGGCAGAGGCAGGAAGATCTCTATGAATTGGAGGCCAGCCTGGTCTATAGAGTGAGTTCCAGGACAGTCAAGGCTATACAGAAAAACTCTT